CTTAAAAGAACAAAATATTCTTATTTATTTTTTCTATTTTCCTTTTTCCGGTTAATAAGTCAAGCGAATAATAATCCGCCCACTAAAATTGCTCCACCACCGATTAGTCAAGGAGTTAAGTTGATTGGCGATTTTTCTTGATAAATTTCCCCCTGATTATCTTGTTCCAAACTTAATTCGCTCTCATTAACCTTTGTCGTATAAGTTAAATCAGCGTGCTTATTTCCTCCTTGGTTCGGTGAAAAGTAAATGGCAATTTTGGGTTTTTCTAAATTATGGCCGCACTCGTGTTCTTCGTGATAAGCCAAATCGGCCCGGGCTTGCCGTTTGGCTTCATCTCAATCCTTAATACTTTTGTCTAATTCAATTTTGCCTCAACAATGTCGGCAAGCATAAAAGTAGCGTTTAGTAGATTTTTTGGTTTTTTCTCACTCACTTGCTTTGCTGGCTTGGTGGTTAGCATTATTTTTTTCCGAGCAATTATCCTCATGGGTTTTTAACTCTTCGTTGACTTTCTTTTGGCTAGCCAGAAATTCTAAACTTCTATCGTAATGAAACTCTTGGGGACAATAACGGCAAGTTTTACAGCGGTCATAATTGGCTTCTTTTTTTCAGTTTTCTACAATCTTTTTTCGTCCCTCTTGTTGAGTGGATTTTAAATTAGCAAAATCCGTTCCATATTTTTCGGCTTCTTCTTGCGGTGTTAGGGGAGTAGGAAGTTCCGGTTTTTCATTTGGTCCTTCTTTTTCCGGTTCGGGAGGAAAATTAGTGTTTAACTTGGCTTCTAAATCAGTTAATAATTTTTTATTTTCGGTTTCTTTTTCCGTCCAAATTATTTGTTCGGCACTATCTTGGGGAGCATTAGCCAAAGTTTTTAAATCATTAATAACTTGCTCCAATTCTTTCTTAGTAGCCGCATCTTTGTTGAAAATATTTTGGGCTTGGGTGATTATTTGGCGAACTTTTTCCAACTTGTTTTCTCTAATCTGGCTAATCTCCTTAATTATTTCTTGTTTTTGGGTCGCTCGTTGGCTATCATCCCGAACCAAATTAATCATTTCTGTTTGATAATCCGAATTTTTAAGTTCGCTGCTGGAAACGACAGGTTTTTTATTCAATTCTGCCTCAATTTCAGTAATGTCAGGTTTAATTTTGGCTTCATTAATGAGAGAGATAAGACGATTTTTCTCCGCCTTAATATTATTTCCTTTTAAATTAGAGAAATTATTTTCTCAATTATTACCGCAGACATCCGCAACTTGGCCGGTCATTTTCAGGGCTTTTCAGTAATCCTTAATCGCTTGAATGGCATCGTGGCGAGCGGTTAGGTCGGCCGCATCTTGGTCTAATTGGGCTTTTTTGTCCTTTATTTGGTTTTTAATAGCCACATAATTTTTCGCAGTTGGCACTTGTTTTTCTTCATATTTCGTCGCATTAATATCCGTCTCGGCCGGCAAATCACTTAAATTTTTAGCATCATTTATTTGTTTTATTATAGCATTAACTTTATCTAATTCCTCTTTATCAATGGTTAACGCATCTAAATTATTATCAACTTGTCCGTGTGAAGAATAAGTATTAATTGTGGCTTTTCAGATAGTAGGGTTACCGAAAGAAATCGTATAAGAACCAGTAAACTGGTCGGCGGCTCAGTGGTTATCATGAATCCGACGGGCCTCTTGGGGAGGAATAAACATTAGGAATAAACCATTACCAGAACATAATCTTAGATACCCTAATATTTGCTGGTCGGTTAATGATAGACTAGCACCATTTTTGAATCTCTGAACTCATATTTTTTTATTCACCTCCTGTTTAGTAGTAATTAGTGGGTCCCAATCATCTCGGCCCTCATAACTAGCGGTAATTCCCTCAATGAAATCAATATCAATTTCCGCAGGGTCCCAGCCAT